GAAAATAAGATACTCTTTAATTTTTTAAGAAAAAATCCTCTATTTTTGGGTTTCTTATTTTCGGTCATATACGGTAAATTAAAAAAAATTAAAAATTAAAAAATTAAAAAGTTATTATAAAAAATTATTATTATTGTTATATTTAGTTTATAAAAAAAAAACCAAAATTTTTTTAAATTTAAATTTTTATTTATAAATCAATACAATTATTTAAGATTATAAAATATTTTTTTGAAAATATTTTTAAAATAAAGCAAATAAAAATCATTAAAGTTATTTATCAATTTTTTTATTAATTTTAGATAAAAACATGTAGAATTTTTTTTAAAAATTTTAAATAATATTTTTTGATATCAAAATTTTTAAAATTTAAAATAAATTTAATGTTTTTTGCAAATTTTCCAATCAGTTTTATTATAAATACATATAAATAAAATTTAAATTGATTTATTTTTCAATTTTTAAAATATTAAAAATAAATTAAAAATTATACAATTATATTAATATATTTTGTTCTTATAAAGTAAGGCAATAAGTTTAAATAATATAAATTAGTAATTTGATTTTTATTTCTAAATAGGTTTTTTCTAAAAATATAAATTACTGTATATTGTTGAATAAATAATTGGTGCAAGATATAGATTAATCTATAGGAAATATGTAAATATTAATTTGTATGGAGCCTTAATAACTGTAAATTAAATATAAATCATTTAATAATAAAAATAGTACATTAAATGCCTTTCATTTTAAAAAAATGTTTATGTTTAAAAAGTAATGTAAAGCTAATAAGAAAATCTAAAAGCAAATAGAAAAAAAATTATGAAATAGAAAAAAAAAATAAGAGTAAATGGAAAATAAAATAAATGAAACCAATTATTTTTTAAAAAAAATCTGAGTATATGTGAAATAATATATAAAAGATAAATTAAATAATGAAACATATACAATATGTAAAATATTTAATTGTAAAATTAAACACTAGTAGTTTAGATATATTAATTATTAATAGATTTAATTTTTTATTTACCGTATTTATTTCCTTTAGATATACCGTGCATTATATCAAATTAAATTTTCAAGTTATTTTTTGAGGTTTTGTGATCAAGTATATAAAAATATAAATAATTACATATGATACATTACATTACTGACATCAAGACGAATAATTTTTCTTATATCAAATATTAGATCCAAAAACAAAAGAATAATTCTAGATATTCCAAAAGTGAATGTTTCTAAATTATATTAAAATTTTATTATCTGATCTGAAACAAATATTGATTGCATTAAATCACTATTATATGATGATTAAAATAAATTCAAGTGCGGTCATGACGCGTTAGAATGTATGATTTTCAAATCGTCCGAATAATTCAGAATGTCTTTTACAGTAGTGAAGGGCCTAGTAAGAAATTACACAATAAGATTTCGTAACGAAATTTAATGAATCACAAGATATATATTTTATTAAATTCACCTTATGTAATCCAGAGGAAAATCTTTCTTTAGTAAATTAGCTAACACCCTCGCAGGTCCAAAAAGAATAAAACTATTGACACCTCGTTCTCTACAATATTTTATGCTTCTTTGCCATTGCACAGTATGTGTCACTTGACGCACTAATAAGGATGGTATATCATCTACAGAACTTATCTAATGTATGAGGAATAATTGTAAGACATTTGATTAAAATCCCATATAAAGAAGAAAAAAACTTGCTTACCGGACTAGCATTCACATTCGATATAACATCGACAATTGGCTTTTCAAATTTAACCCCCTTCAATGCTGCTTGCATATTTTCTGCTGCCGGTTGCATCAGCTTACAATGGAATGGAGCTCTAAATGTTATCATAAATAAATTTTAATAAATCGATCTAACAAATAAATTTATCATAACTTACGATACAGGAAGATCGACGGCACGCGCTGCGAGTCTCTTCGATTGCAAAACACGCGAAGCCTGATCTACACCAAAACTTGTTCCGCTTATTACTGCCTACCATTCGATAAGGACATTGAAGTATTAGATTCAGACGCCATCAAATAACTATTTCATTATTTCCAGTGAAATGGATAAAAACCTGAAAAGACTTCTTAATAAAGAAAACAAATTATTATCACCTCGCAAAGAAAAACAAGTAATTCAGAGAAAACCGATAACAGCATACACTATTGAGATTAGCCAATTCAACAAACTCTCCCTCAGGTAAGGTTGAACAAACTTCATTTATCGCGCCTCGTAATTTTGGTAAGTTTTCCTCACGAACAATCAGAGCTGACATTGCTGTTTTGACCCCTAATTGTGAAACCGCATCTGCCATGGCTTCACCACGTCGCCGCTACAATCAAATTTATGAAAATTTATGTATATAATTTATCTCATAGATTAGGATGGAAGGGAAAATTTGTAAATTTCCTTACAACTAGCCTAAACGCGTCATGCAAAGATAAAGATTTGGTAACGACCAATGCAGAATATTCACCCAAAGAATGTCCAAGTGCATATGCGCACCAAGATGCGATATCGAAGCCATATTCACTCTATCAAATTAATTAAATCAATTTTTTACACACAATTTACAATAACACAAACATGTTCATACGTATAACGAGCTCACCTCCAATACTTTGAACGTTGCAATAGATGTTGCTAATATCGCGGGTTGAGCATTTTGTGTCATCATTAGATCTTTCTGAGTTTTACATAATAATTAGTCTATTTTAAAAAAAATTATAAAAAATTATAAAAATAAAAAAAATAAAAATAAAGTTCACCTGCTGTCCATCAAATATTAATTTTGACAAATTCATTCCTAAAGTTTCGTCAGCTTCCTCAAAAACACGTCGGGCAGAAGGGTAACTCAAGTATAGATCTTTTCCCATTCCTACATATTGAGCGCCTTGACCTATAGACATAATGTTACGAAATTTAACGAAACAATTTTATAAGAGAAATAATAGTGTTCCTGGTTATATTAATTTACCTGGAAATAAAATAGCTCTCTGCGATTTCTCTGAACCAGGCGTCTTCTGTTAAATCGAAACTTTTGAACATCACAACTGATTCTCTAAAGTATAATGTTAAAAATCTGTACATACCAAATTTCTTGTGGGAAACGCTTGCAAATTATTAAATGATTTCTGAACACAAGAACGAGGAAGTAAACAAGAATAAAGAGCAATCATTTCAAATGTAAATGAAATCCACAAATTTTCGATTCCTTTATATGATCTTATTCAACCAATTATATTTACCTAAGGTTTTATAAATTTGAACTATGTTGACATGTTGACAACATAGCATATCGAATATTATTATCAAATACACCGAAAAATGTCAGATCCTGAGAACAATGACGGCGTTGTCGATCAAAACATGGAGAATTCTGATGTAGAGGAATTTGAGTTGAAGTTGGGTAGTACTTTTGGCGCAAAAAATGGATCTTTACCCAAATCTTATTATAAGCTTGTCTGTAAGAATTTTAAATTTATACTCGCAGACTAAACTTTGAAAAGCTTTTTAATGTTCCACCAATCTTGCTGAATGTAGATGATAGTCATGAAAATATTGATTTCTCAAAGGCTACCGATTTGGAATTTCGAGACGAAGAAACATTACAGGTTTCCTTTTGCGGAGATTCGGTAAATAGACAAGCCCAAGTAACTTCTAATAGAACGATAATTCCTATAATGAATTTATATAAATTTATAGGGCGACGAAGTTCAATTATTGACCGGACAACGATTTGAAGATTACACAGAAGACTTTGAAGAGGAGGATCTCGAAGCCGAAAAGCAGTGTTTATTAATTTATGATGAGAATTCTCGAGTACCTAATAAGTTATATTATTATATTTTTTTGATATCGTTTATATTCTCCATTCTAATTTTATTTTTCACAGACGTGGACGCTGGAATGTATAGATTATAGTTACAAAATTGGCAATGACGAGAAAAATACAAATAAAGAATCTCCTGGATCAGAATATTTTGAGCAGAAATTCGAGTCTGATTTGATGCAACAAAGTGAAGAGGAAGTTCAAGAATTAACCGAGGATGAAAATAATGAAGAACCCGATAGGTTTATGAATGACAGTGAAATTCAAATAAATGAAGAAAATGGTCACAATGACGAAAATGGAGATGAGTATTATGGTGAAGGGTTATTATCAGACGATGGATTAGAAGAAATAGATGAACCCATTCAGCACGTACACGTAGACCAAAGAGAAAATGATGTATTTGAGGATGAAATAATAAAAGACGATGGTTCTGAATCATCAGGAAGTTCGTCTTCGAAAAGTAGCACGTCCACTGGAACAGATTCCGATGATTCTGAGGAGGAAGCAACTGGTTCTTCCGATTCAGATTCTGATCTGGAGGCTCTGGGAGCACAGTTGACCCAAGAGATGATGGAAACGGAAGAAAGTAAACCAGTGGAAACGAGAAAAAATATAAACTCTTTAGTAAGTCAATATTTGTATCGCGTTCACCTCCTGCATAATTTATGATTAATTAATGATTTTTTATTTTGATAGGAACGAAACGTACAAATTCCAAGCTCACAGCCTACCTCCCTGGCAGCATTATTTGGTGGTCAAGGTAAATAAGAAAACTTGATTGTTTTTACGATACAAATTTTGTCTTAATTCATTTTTTTCAATAAAAGGTGCAAGACAAGAAGAACAAGACGATAGTGATTCATCATCAGCAAGTGACTAAATAATTTTAGATAATCTTAAATTTTTCGGCTAATAATAATAGTTTAATATTATTTGAGTGACTTTATTTTAAATAAAGTATTTATAATGAACCTGTAATTCAGGCATGTGATAGATTACTGATTCAACTTTTTTAAAATAATTATATATGATTCGGTTAATTGTCCCAAATGTATAATTTATTTTTTTAGAAACCATGCAACTTTATTTTTAGAATTTCAAATTTATATAAAATTATGTAATTTAATTTATAAAGCTTTCAATGCAACAAAGTCTGTAAAGATTTCAATTTTTATTATACTCAATAGAAAAAAGCAGAATTCAATATACAAATTTTTTGTAATTTGTATAATTTATAAAAAATATATATAATTTATTAATTTTTCCTATAATTAAACAAGTAACATTTATTTGATTTGAATTAAAAAAATTCAAATACAAATCTTATATATACAGTATGATGTAAAAAAAAAATCAAAATTATATATTTATTTATAACTTAATTATTTAAATTGTTTAAAACTTTATAAATATATTCTTCAATATTTTAAAAATAAGTTTCTTATAAGCTATATACAGTGCTTATAAATAATGAGAATCATTTTTCAAATATAAATTTCACAAAATTTATTTATTTAGATTGTGGTTTTACAATAATATCAATATAGTATCTATAAAAAAAAATTATACTGTATATACTAATGATCGATTTTTTTCCATTATTTTCAATAACATTGTTTAACCATCCTGACATACCATTTGCCAAATTAAGACATAGGTCTACAAAAATACCCTCCTATTCTTCTCGAATTATCTCATGCCAGTCCATAATGCTGATTTTTTTTTCCTAATTATTTTGTACACTCGTTTTTCCATCCTTTTCTTGATAATAGTCCATAAATTCTCTATTGGATTTAAATCCGGGCTATAAGAGAGCCAATCGAAGATCTTTGGGACTTGATAATGAAGAAGTTTTGCCATTTCTTTTGCCATATACTTTGGATCATTGTTCTGTTGGAAGATCCAGCATAATGGTATGATCCTAGATATATTCTTAAAAAGATTATCAGTTAAAATATTATAGTAAAGTAATCTATCCATATTTTGAGTGAAAATATAAAAACCAATCATTCCCCATGCCAAGAAAGCACCCCATGCATGAACTTTTGCAAGATGTTTTGGAACCTTTTTTTGTGAAACATTTGTACTAGCCTTATGGAATACAGTTATAGTGTTATGAAACATCTAAAATGTAGTTTCGTCCAAAAATACAGTATTTTTTCAGTTTTATCTTGTATGAGCAGTCATCCATTCCACACAGCATTCACATTGTTTTTTGATAAATAAAGGCACTGTTTTGGGGTGACTTGAGTGGTAACCAAGCCTATTAAGTTCACAGTTTACTGTTCGTACTGATATTTTGATTATATTATTAAGCTTAGTAACAATTTTTCCACAGATAGAGTATTGATCATTTTGAATAATTCTTCCTAACACATGACAATTTGGGAAAGTTAAAATTGTTGGATGTCCAGGACACGAAATAGTTCAAATTTATGATTTTTTTTTAGTTAAGTAATATACTTGTATATTGTAGAAAGGAAGATATCACTTAATTTCTCCAGAATCGGTGCATCATGAATGCCACAGCTCCAAAGCCTTTCATCGATCAACAAGAGAGATCTTGTCCATTTTACAATAAAAAAAATAATGTAGACTAAATAGAAAAAAATTTTTTTTGTGGCTTGTTTTTAAGTTACATATATAAACAAATCATTATTAAAAGCTAATGTTATTGGGGATACACAATTGAAAATTTTATATATACAGTTTATGTCAAATTAAATTCTCGTTATTTATAATAAGTACTATATATAGTATAAAACAAAAATAATTGGAAAAATTAAAATAAAAATAAAAGTATATGTATTTGAAAATATAAAAAATAGAAATATATAAAAATAATATTATATTATTATATTTATAAATAAAAAAAGAGCAAAAAACTCTTTTCGCCAAATACAAAAATTTTTAAAATTTTTCTTTTTAGGAAACTCAAAGAAAACAGAACAAAACACTCACTTACTCTTTCAAACCTAAGGATATCAAGAGAAATAAGCAACCAACATACTCTTTAACAAGACAGGTAACCTTTGCTTCAAAACTAATCATCTTTTTTCTATTTGTTTTATTTCTTTTAGGAAACAAGCAAAACTTTACAAGGAAGAAGGAAAGAAACAAAGTAAACAATTCACAGTAAGATCAGAAAAAAAAAATCAAGTATCAACCTTATAAAGCTATTAGCCAGTCATGCATTAGGTTAGGCACCTCCTCTAGTTACTAATAAGATTCTGTGTTGATCAGATTATATCTGATAAATCAGATAATCTTATATATCAACACAAAGCCAAAAGGATATCATAGTTTCCTTCCTAAATCTTGAATAAAGAAAAAAAACAAAACAAACACATATAATCTATACTTTACCAGATCTTACATAGTATAAATAAGTTCCATTTATTCCAAAAAACCAGAATCAGCTTACCTCCTTCAAAAGATCTGCAGTAACATAAACATATTTATATCCTAGAACAGAATAAGCAGACTTCAAAACAAGCAAAACATATTCTATTAATAGAAAACAAACATGTCTCCAAAGATTAATGGTTCACAATCAGACATTCCAACCTTAATTAATATATAAAATAATATATCAGATATATAATAGGATTTATATCAAAGTATATTCAAAAGAAGAGTCAATATATGAAACTTATAATAATATTCAAAATAATATCAAAAAGGAAACTAACAACTAAACAAAGAATAACAAGCAATACAACACAACATGTATATAAACAAGTCACTTGCAAATATAATAGCAGAAATTATAACAACCATTT